ATAAAGAATAAAAGGCCAGGGCCGGGGATGGAGCTCAGTGGTTCCGCCGTCTGCCTCACAAGCGCAAGGTCCTGAGTTCGATCCCCGGTACCAAAAAAAGAAAAAAGGAACAAGAATAAAAAGGGCTGGGGAGGTAGCTCAGCCCTCCCTGGGTTCAAGCTCTAGAATGACAAAAGCATAAAAAGTTGTAAAAAGAGGGAAGGGGTGAGGGGCTGACAGCATAGACTGCAGGGCTCGGATCGGACAGACCTGAAGCTGACACCCAGCTCTGCTGCTGACCCAGTGACTCTCGGAGCCTCTGCTGTCCTAGACTGGAAGAGATGCGTATTCCCGGGCAGGCTGTAAAGGTGAAGGCAGTAAAGTCTAAGGCACTGGAACCGATGGACCTGGAGAGGAGATAAGACCGGGGCTGAGGGAGAGGGAGGATCACGGCCCGGCCAGGCCAGGGTTACAGCGGGAGGAGGGCGAGTGAATTCCCCATGGAGGGTGAGTCACGCTGAGCCCAGCTTTCAGCCTGCAGCAGACTGGGGAACTGGGTGGAGGGTGATTTTACTTCTAAGACGCATCCGAGGTGACAGCCAGACAGAAGGGAGGGCTCTGGGTGGGGGCCGGGACCCCGCCACTGAGGGAGGCAGGCGGGGTCCCGCCGAGGGGAGGGTGGCAAGGGATGCGCCTCTCCTTCCAGCTCACGCCGTGCTGCGGTGCAGTCAGAAGCAAGGCCACCTGGTCCATACGGCCTGCAGGGGCCTGCGTTCAGTCCCACGGGGTCACCGGAGGCCACAGCAGGACAGCAATCCTCCGTGCAGACCAAAATCCCCACCGGTGCACTCCAGGAGGCCCCTCAGGAGCCAGGCCCTCAGTGCTTCCCCTCAGAGCGGCTTCCACAGGTGATGAGGGCCGGTGAGCCACAGGCCTCGGTGCCAGAATCTTTGTCTCACCTGCCGCAGTTCCTGACATCGTACTTAAAGCCAGACATGGTGGTGCACATCTGTAATTCCAACACTCTGGGAGGCTGAGGCAGGAGGATCACAGGTTTGAGCCCAGCCCAGGCAACTTAGCAGTGCTGCTGCCACCAAAAACAGTCTTAATGACATGAAGGAAGAATCACTTTCCGACATTTTTGTATTTAATTTCTAAAGCCCTCCTAGTCATCTGAGGTGTTTTTTAACTGAGCTGTGATTTCTTCTATGACTCATCAGTCCCCAAGGAAATCACATTTGAAAAGCCGAGATTGCTTGCCACACACACCTCCATAAAGATAACCCAAGATAAATGCACAGAGGAACCCGGAGTTGCCACAAGCATGAGGGGAGTGTGCAAAGCCGCCCAGGCTGTTCTTGGGCGAGGAAAACAGATCCAGATTCTGGGCTGGCTCTCAAGGTGGCCATGCCACCTCTGCTCACCTTGTGAGACTTATAAAGTGAAGAACCGGTCTTTACTTGCTGCAATGGAATATGAAAGTCACATCACGCCCCAAATATTTAACCTGAATTTAACTGAGACTTAACTTCCAATTTCCAGCAAATACAGAATATGAAGGAATAAGTTAAATGCTGCCACGGAGAAACAATCAGATGAAGTGAGTTTGTGGGGGCGGGAGAAACTATGACCGGCTACACAGCAACCACACCCAACCCACCTTTTCTTTGCCCAATTTCCCACCAAGCAGCTGGGAAGGCCCACACAATACTTGATTTCCCAGCCTCCTTTGCAACTAAGGGTGCTCACAAGACCCATTTCTGGTCAATGTTTGAATCTTTTCTAAAAGCCCAGAATTTAAAAATGCACAACTGGGCTGGAGATTTAGCTCAGTTGTTCCACCGTTTGCCTGGCAAGCATAAGAGCCTGAGTTCGATCCTTGGTATGTGCAATCAATCAATCAATAAATAAATAAATAAATAAAATTGAAAAATAAAAATAAAATTTTAAAAATGTGCAGCTAAAGGATAAATTCTGGCCCAGTTGAAATGGGGACAGTGCTGTCAGGTTAACTTTTTGTATGACCTTGAAGTCATTCATGCAGTCTCATAGTATCTTTTTTCTCAATGCAATATCTTGAAGAGACAATAAAATACCCAAAATAACATATCAAACATTCATGTACCTATAAACCAGATTGAACAAATTTTAATACAAAATATTTACCATAATTTACAAACAATGCAAAATATTTACTATGAATATTTGAACAAATCTTTTTTGGGGGCGGAGTTTGAGACAGGGTCCCACTGTATAGTTGAGACTGACCTGGAACTCACTATGTTGCCCAGGCTGGTCTCAAACTCACAGCGATCCTCCTGCCTCAGCCTCCCGAGTGCTGGGATTACAGGTGTGCACCACCATGCCCGGCCTTT